ATCAAAAAATGAGAAAAAAATTCAAGCAAGTTTAGCATGATGTTTCATTAATATCAAACTGACCTTCTCAGTGTTGTTTTCTTTATATGTGTTTAAGGTGACACCATCCAATGATAATTTAATCTTGTACTTTGTTGTCCACTGATCACTATTGACAGATCCTTGAGTGGCTACAGCACAGATAACATAATCATACTGCAGGTCAATTTGTAGGTAGTCAGTGTGATTAGTATTAGTTTTTGGTGCCCAACCCCAGTTATTTCCATTCAGACGACCAGCTGAAGGTCCACGGGCATTATTAGCTTTTGATGAGGCTGAGAAGCTGCCATCTGGAATTGCATCACTGCTGGTCACACCAATTGCCTGACTATGACATGCTGTTAAAAGACAATCATAATTACCATAAACTGTGGTTTCAACCCAGAGAATCAGTGCTGGTATATCATACATGTACAGTAACAATCACAAGAGTGCTGCACCATGTAAACACACCTCAAGTGATTTTACTAGTGATTAGAGGTAGTTTGTGTAAAGAACTGTAAGTCCTTCTTCAGTGAAAACTCAAGGCTAAAAAAATTTTAAAAATTAATTAACTTTGTCACCTTTTGGCCTCTAATTGAAGAAAAAAAGCCATCAGGAATTTCTAGTTGCCAGAATAACATACTATACTACAGGATTCTTACAAATTGCCAGCTCATGAACATAGATCACTCTTAACTACTGAAATATTTATGTCATGTGGTCTTCTTACACCATCAGCTAAATACACAACCACTCCATTATTCTTTACTATTGATTTACAGGTTAATAATAAAACTTTCACGAAGGGCCACATTTTTAATTTGTAGCATTTATGTTTAAATAGGTCACAACATACATTTACACATGTACATGTATATATATCAACTTTTAAACCAAACTATCATACCTATCTACTACACGCAACCAGTTTACATTTATTTAACAATATTGAAGTACCTGCATGTCTACATACAGAAATTAAATGGCAAATTTTCCTGAGAATGCAGATTGGAACCCCAACTCAGTAAGTTAGCAGTTAATAGTAGTTATTCAAAATATCCAGATATGCCATACCTCTTTGTTCTGAATACACTTCAACTTCA